GAAACGATATGGTCAAAGTGGGTTGCGCTGAATCAGGTATAGAAGAACAGAATTAAAAATAAATTATCTCATAAGAATACTGGCTAAGAACTTTTCCCTTATGTAATCTTCATCAAAATAGTCGGACCAATTACATTATCCCGAGCCGATGTCTTCTATTAATTCATTATTATTTTAACATTTTTAAACATTTTCGGAGCTTGATTAAAAAAGTGGTCGAAGTTTAATTTCCTCGCCCCTTTTTCGAAACATTATTAAATATGATTTTGCGAATTTTACTTTTTTTATGAAAACTCCTACACGTTCAAATAAAGATATGTATGTAATGTTAAAGTAAATGTAAAGCATGCTACGCGTGTGATTCAAGTGAGTTTTTCCATTACAAAATTTTGTACTGACGTTATCGACATATTTGCAGAGACACATATATCAGTCTTAATATGTATGGTGCAATACAGAGAGATCGAAACAGAAATTAGTCAAAGTTGGCCATGCACGAAAAGCCGTTTGTCTTAGTTTAAAATATTTTTTCTACTTTGCGTTAACAATGGCCTCATTATTAAACCGAAAAGAGTTTAATAATGGGCTCAATTGTTAAACTGTATTTCAGGTGGCGTGCAAGAAGTGGGGCCCCCTTCTTCCATTTTTTGAGGCAAACTTAGGTTAGATTGTTAGTGTTCGGTGGTTAGATGTCAAACTTTGACTTTGTGAAGTCAGCCACAACGCTACAACTAACCTTTCGAATTAAAAGGCCCTAAATTATAACCTTGAATTTTTATTAATTTTTTGTTACCGATCAGATGCAAAGTAGAAAAAATAGTATATTATACTCGTTTAATAAGACGCATTGTGGCACTTATTCCTTTGGAGCACTCCTCGCTGCGCTCGTCGTGCCCCAAACCCATGCGTGCCACAATAAGACGTCTTATTAAACTAGTATAATAATATACTATTTTTATTAAACGTCACGTTGATAAAAGTAATTTGGAATGTTATCAAACGAAATTAAAGCTTTTTTGTTAGAATCTTACATCAGAAATGGGACAAAATTGGAAAATGGTCATTTTGATTCATTTTTATGTGTTTTAAAAGTAGGTGTTATAATTCTAATTTTAAACTGTCATTTTAACATTTGATAAAAAATTTCAATTACGACAAACGGCATGTCGTGCATGGCCAACTTTCACTAATTTCTTTTTCGATCTCGTGGTATTAATAATATTCGTGGTATTCCCAAATTTTCGGGAAAATGGAGTAAGCCGATTCTGCTTTAATCAATAAAATAAATTTACTCATTCATTAACATTTTAAGTTTTTTTTATTAGTGTATAAGCAATTCTAAACGAAAGGTGAATCTTCGTGGTGCGCTATAGTACGAAGTTGGAATCACCAATTTCACGAGCTTAGTATACAATTTTAGTCACACTCAAATAAAATCTATAATTTCAATGAATCAAGTCTAAAAAAATGCTCACAAAATATATGTAGATATATTTTTGTAAGTATGCAATAAATTCATGTGTCACTGACATTGTCATTGCAATATTAATGCATAATGGCAAATACGTAAATAAATTTTCGGTATTCGTGTAATTTCTATTGTTTGTGCGGCTTCTACACCTCAAGTCATGTCGGATACTAAATCTGCCTTGCTCGATCGTAAAAAAGCACACGACCTTAAATAGTTGAAACATTTTTAATAAATATAATGAGGGGTTCTATTTGTACTTGTAGCGGGTTAACAATGTAAAATGGTTCATTATCGAAGTTATTGGGATTAAACAAAAATGGTAGAAGTTTATTTCGACAGAACTTCCCTTGCCGCTGAAGTACAGTCCAATAAATTCCGCAACTGCGTTAAAACAAAGAAGCATGCTATACGTGTGTTTTAAGTTAGTTTTTCCATAACAAAATTTTATGATGACGTCATTAACATAAATAGCACTAGTCATAGTGCATCAGTGCAAGAGGAAAGAAGAAGCAGGCAAGTGTGGCGTCGAACGTTTTTTTTTTGCGAAAATTTGAACGTTTAGGGAAAAACTCAAAGCGGATTCGTACATCACAAGTATAGGAGTATGTTATTGTATAACATTTAAATCATTTTAAATTAAAATCCTTTGTAAAATTGTTGGTGGAGATGATTAGACAAATTTTGGTTAGCGTTTTACTATCTACATGATATTCCTAATATAAATACATACAAAATTTGACAACAATCGGTCTACAGTTTCGGAGATTATCTGTGTAATAAAAATTGACACAGAGGAAAGACAGACAGACGGAAAGGGGAGACCATTTTTTTCGTACTCTAGCTAGAGGTCACGAAACGTTTAGAAAACTTGAAAGTGGCAAGTCGTCCGATCGACTCGATTACTATACTTCCATTGCTTATGCTCAGGAAGTAAAAATCAATATACATAAATAAACATTTGTATTATTAAATTGTCTACGCTTTGTTTTTTTCTTGTTTCCACTTCGTATAGGTATTGCGATAAATAGTTTACATGATCGCTATTTTTGAATTAAAAACATTAAGGAAATTGTAAAACCTACAATAACAGTGTATTAAAAAAATAAACTGTCTACTCATGTTTGCAACATAGAATATTCTACTGTTACCATTTATTTTATAATAAGTAGTAGGACACAATTTACGTTATTGGTAACTTCCAAAAATGTATTTGTTTTATTTGTTGAGAATATATTTTAAAATATTTCTTATTCGTGACTTACACAAATTTTCTTCAAAAATGGGATATTAAAAAAACTTTTCAAGAAAAAAGTTTTCCACCTCGTTGATGAAGAGCGGTAGCGTAAAATTATAAATAGTTTTAACCACACTTGACCGAAACAACAAAGCCATTGTAGTCCTGTGTCTCCAGATTGTGGCTTTCCTTCTCTCTATCCCTTTAACAAGCCTAATTATCATATAGGAGTTATTTATTTCGTCTTGTAAATAGATTATTGTTTCAATTTGAGCAGTGTGTCAAATTTATTTGACAATTGATATTTGCACAGAAAATAAATTGTTATATGATTTAGTGATATCTTAAAACTGATCTAATGTAAGTATTTCGGTTTCACCTGTAATGGAGATATCAATTTTTTTAGACTGGACATGTTTAACATATGATTCATGTTATGTGAAGGTAAAATGTCAAGGTAATTTTAACGAGTCATTTTAGGTTAAATAACTTATATTAAAATATGAGTAAAAATATAAATAAATTGACTATATGAATTTAATGAATACAATATATATTGTTACAATATATTTCTTAGTTTTGTTTAGAAAGTATAAGTAATTTATAAACCCATTTATTGATTGGTGATAAATTTAACTGATTTTTTTTTAAACAAGTGTTGGACTTGCACTTTAGTGTATAAATTTATTACCATGCTCCCTTTACAGAATTTGACACGAACTTGTCAAATTATAAATTTAATGGTTGTCTCAGTGTCAAACGACACCACACACATAGGTACAGGATTCGTATGAAGTCCGGGAACGATTGAAGTTTATTATTAAAAAAGCTTTTTTTTGAAAATTTGGTATGGATATATAATTAAACATGGCGACTTGATTACAATATTTTTCCTTTTTTTATCGCTTTCGGTTTGACACACAAGACCGCCCACTTTTTTTTAACACCCAGATTTTTTTGACATTTTCTGGAGCAGATAAAAACACTAGTTACAGAAATTATGAACATGTTTATTTCTACTGATACAAAAAATTTAAAAAAATTCACAAAAAAGACCTAATATTGTAAAATCGCGTCATCTTTGAAAATACTAATAAATAATAAACTTACTATGTGTGGGACTACAATAAATGTTCAAAGTGTTCTCTGTTTACAATTTAGCGGCGATGTAATCGATTAACAAAACGTGTAAATGATTTATGTATGATTTTACAATATTAGGTGTTTTTTGTGAATCTTTTGTATCAGTAGAAATAAACATGTTGATAATTTCTGAAAGTCGTTTTTTATTCTTCTTCAGAAAATGTCACAAAATTTTTGTATTTCATTAAAAAAAGTAGACCCTGTCTGTCAAACCGAGAGCGATAAAAAAAGGAAAAATGTGGTAATCAAGTCGCCATGTTTAACTATATTTCCAAAGCAAATTTCGGAAAAAAAACTTTTCAAATAATAAAGTTATTGGACCGTTCCAGGATTTTATACTAACCCTGTACATATACAAACACTTTTAAAAATTTGGAAAATATTAAGCTTCACCTTGTTACTGAAGTTGTTTTGCGTGTTACTTCTTTCGGTTTTGCTTTAGCAAATAGAAATAGCGATAACTGAATTTTAAAACACTAAACTTCAAGGCTTCCCTACAAAATAATTCTAGTTTGCAAAAATCCATACACTATGTTTAAAATATGTATCAAAATGCCTATTATTATAATATATTCAAGTCAGACACTCTTCCATCTGACGAGCACTTTACGATTTTGAAGTGAAAGCGAGGCGACAGGTTGGTCTCGTATTACCGATCTGCGAAAGGGATACAAAATTTTAAGGATTTTGTTTTGTTTCTTCTTGTACCATTTATTTTGTTTTAATTTGGCGTTAGCCCATTCTAGATATCTTTAGGTGTAATGGTGGTGTCTTGTACTTAGTCTTACGATAAAAGATAAAAAACTTTTATTATTATTACTAATTTTGAAATAAAAAAATAAAAATAAAAATTATTCATGCAATATTAGGTTTCATATTTCACAAAACTTATTACTACGGAAATAAAAAAAAAATCATTACAACATACTAGTGTTCACCGGAAAATGTATTTAAATTCCACACTCGAAAAGTAAAGTATCACTAGAAATGTTAACTTTTTTTAGTTTTTTTTATACAATAAAACACCTAAAACTCGCGTCTCAACAACGTGTTTAATACCCAATACATGGTTCAAATTTATCCCCATTCTAGAACACTAATTTAATTATTAATAACTCGCTTTCTTAGAAGACAATATCACACCTAGCTCACCTTGAAACGCCTGCTGAGACGTCACCATAAGCGACGTAAAGGGCACTAGAAGAAGCCCAAAACCTCTCCAAAAAGGAGCCTTTGTCGCCATTTCTCGCCTAGAAGCCTTCTTACATTCTAAAAATCCGGTCCCTCACACCGACACCATGCACTTCGATACCAATCGATCGAAATCTCCCAGTATATCACAATTTTGTCTGCAGTTACAGTTCTCCACATAAATCTACCACAGTAACAAGTGGTTTCTGATTTCTCCGGAAGCCCGAAACCTGAAGAAACTCGAGCGTTTTTGCTGGCCGCGATGATCGTACCGGACTAGTTTGCCCGGATAATTTCCTGCTGAGAAACCAGTAATTGTAGGTGTAGCGCGCTAAAGCGGTGCACTGCGACTCCGGGACGCTCCGGGGTCCGGATTATCGCACAACACGGAAACGGGGCGGCCGTGAACTGGCTTTCGGCAGCGGCATCGCTCGTATTTCAGTTTACAGGATCCTGATACAGAGGCATGCGCTCTTTGTGCCAATCCGTCCCCATATCCCACGGCCGTTTTTCCTAATTCGCACCTTGTTTTACTAAAGCGTAAATTCGTGTAGCTTGAACTAGGGACATTTTGTTTTTGTTGTTTAGGACGTATGAAATCCGACATTTTGTTTTGTTGAAGTGGTTAGAATACCGTTTTTAATTCGAGATTTTAATTAAATAAGCACTGTGTTTTAACACAGGCAAAAAGAAGATAAAATTTTTTGATACCAAACAAGTATCACATTTGTGGATAGTTTTGCAGTTACGGTTGAATAACTGTTTAAGTGAATGAAAAGCGGAAACAATTAGCTTCAGGTTTTCAAGTAATCGGTCACTTTGGGGGCGGATTTCATGATCGAAATGCTTTGTGGTGGGAAAATCACCTAGGGTTTATTAATAATTAAAGAGGTCGGGTGTTTGTAGCACCCCCAATCAGCTCAGTAAATTTTCACAAGTTTCAGTGAAAGTTTAGGACCACTTGTACACTTGCGGTTATTAAACATTTATCTTCAATGGGACGGTGGGAGTTGGGCGAAAGTGTTTTACAAGCCGTGGGGTTTTACTATGTACATGGATGACTAAAATTATAAGAAACTTAAAAGCTTTTGCTTATGAAAACAAAAATAATAAATGCGAATAAAGCTTCTTAAGAAAAATATTATTAGCCAGACTGTAAGTAGAATTGAGTTTTTATAGTTATACATTAAAATAAAACTACTGTTTTTCTATTGTTGGTGAGTTGTTAAAAAATTAGCATTTTAAAATATTCCATCCAATTCAATAAAACGTTGAGCCAGTTATTTGGTTGGGGGGGGGGGGTATTTCATTATCTGGTATATTATGCCTTGTATTCATAAACATTAGCAAATGTTTTTACTCCATTTCCATTGCTTGCTTACCAACAATGTTTACACATATCTTTTTATTTCCAAGTGATTATTAAAAAATTGGTCTAAAGTCGCTTAGATAGTCCCTAAAGTACAGGAAAACTAAGAAGAAATAGATTCTTCTACAATAAAACATCCAGCTTTTTCTAAAAGCAATAATATTTGATTTCGCAAATTTTACTTTTTTATGACAACTCTTATAAATTCAAGTAAAGAAATGTGTGTAAGGCTAAAGGAAATGTAAATAAGTGTGCTTTCTTTTACAAAATTTTGTGATCTCACCATCAACATTTTTGCAAAGACCCATGAATACATAAATTTGTATAGGTCTGCACCTACTAACAGTATTGTATTCTTAAATTTTCGGGAAAATGGAGTGAACCGTTCCTGATTTAATTAATAAAATAAATTTCTCTTAGGCCTGTTTATATTCTACCTATTGTTATCGTTGTTTGGCGTTGCTAAGGGTCCAGTATTTCACTAAATTTTAAATTTTGATCAAATTTCTTGCTTCTCTATGAATTTATTATAAAGAAGGAAACAATAATAAGTTCTGCACAACATTTGCTGCCCTTTCAAGAATTTTTTTCCGGGATTTCCATTTTTTTACAAAACTTCTACGACTTTACGTAAAGATGACGATTTTTTTCCAAGATTTACAGCTGTTATTTACAATGCTGACATAGTAATGCCCACCAACTACACATCCTACATACAAAATGATGTTCTAAAATGAAATTTATTATTTTCGGATGGAATATAAGCAAATATAAGAGAAAACTTAATATTATACGGTTAACAAAAGAACCAGTAAATGCTCGTGAGTCAGTATAACAGTATTTTTGTCACTTGTATAATACATAACTATTACTCAATCATAAATTTTTTTGAGTTGTATAAATAAGAAATATGTATATGATAAATCTCAGAATGGAGTCTAACACATTTTGCACATTCTAGACAGGATATATTCGGCAAGATTTTGAGATAATGTTATCAATTTTAGGGGAGGGGGTACACCGATATATTTTGCTAAAAAACTTAACATGCTTACGAAATCTTTAAAATATCTACAAGATTTCAAAGCATTCGGGTTTACAGTTCCTGATTTAATCACTAAAGTAAATTGACCGATTCCTTAATTTTTTTGAGTCACAAGCAGTTTTAAAAATATCAATGCAATGGTAAATGACAAATATGTCTCATCATAATTTGCGCATTTTAGATAGGATTTAACGTTGTAAATTTGGGGGGGGGGGGGGTATTTTCAAAGAAAATTTACATGCTTACCATCTATTTAAAACGTTTGCAAAATTTCAAAGCACAAAATATTGTTACACAATTTTGAATTTTCTTCCAAAAATCTGCATGTCTCGGGTACATGAACACGGACTGGTAAACTACACATGTAGGATTATGTTATTTGATACAATTTAAAACCCATTTACTATGTACAATTTTGAGCTGAAGTTCTCACGTTGTTGGTGGAGATGATTAGACAAAGTTAGGTTAGCGTTTTACGGTTTTACCAAGTAATCGGTCTTGCAACTTAGATGATTATCTGTCTAACAAAAATCGACACAGACGGCGGGTAGACACCCAACCACCCAGGTAGATAGACAGACAGATGAAAACGGGAGAGCTATTTTTCGTACTTTAGGAGTCAAGATCCATCGAGAAAATAAGAAAGTAGACAGTCGTCTGATGAACTCCATTACAATACTTCGTTAGCTTAGGCTCTGGAAATAAAACCATAGCTGTGGATCATTAAAATACTGGTAGAGAAGATATTTCAGGTGAGTTTTTCCACAAAAACAATTTGTAATGACGTCATCAAACATTTTGGCAAAGACACATGTATAAATTTGAAGAGGTGCAGTGTAATACTAATAGTAACAGTACCGCATACCGGAATTTTCGGATAAATAGGATGCGCCGTTCTTGATTAGATCAGTAAAATATTTTGCCTCATTCATTAATTTTTTTTAGTCACTCAATGTAACCATTATATACACGATATTCCACACATACATATACATTTTGATAATAATCGGTCCAGTAGTTTCGGAGATTATCTATCTCATAAAACTCGACACAAACAGACAGACGACAGACAGACGGAAACGCGAAACTCATTTTTCCGTTCTCCAGAGTTCATGAAACGCTTAGGAAATAAAAAGTATTGCAATAGGGCCATTTTAATAAGTATGTATTTGATGTGCCTTGGCGCTTGACGTTCATAGAATACCAAAATGCTGGTTTCCTGTAAGTAGATATCGAGGGTAGGTGTAGAACGAAAACCCGATAAGTGAATTATTCACTACCATCATGTAATCTTAACACAATGAATTTGGCATTTCCTACAGAACGCAAGCAAATCTTCCTAGTTATTTGAGTCTCCTTGTTATTATTAGTGTTTTACTTTCTGTATAAATCTTACTGCACAAATTGATTAAATAACTGTTCCGAATTTTCGTCACTTATCAGGTTTTCGTTATACCTATACCCTCCACAAATTGTGTGTTGGTTACTTTATTAGTCAGATATTTTCATAAATTACCCAACAATTAAGTACTTTAAAATTTCGCAAATGACTTCAGTTTCCCATGTAAACCGTGAACCTTAATCAACAGTTGCCAATTCGTTACCCTAAAAACCTCACATTAATAAGCGTGCAACAGAAGATTGATCTATGGATTTGGATCAATTACACAGTGTTATTAATAAATGTGTTTTACCCTTTATTTGTAGAACTACTTATCCAACTTCTTTAATTTTGTGTCCCCACCACAAATTTAAGCACACAGATCACTCATAATTTTTTCTTCAATCAAAAAATATCATTTTCCTCACAACATCCAATGAAATCATTATTTTGGTGGTAAAAACCACCAGTGAAAAAACAGGTCAACTGTCAAAATCATTTTTATTAAAAAAATTAATCTTTAACATTGCAAAAAAGTCAATTATAATAGGTATAATTATTTCCATTAGATCAAGGAACTTGAGATGATGCTCCTGCTGGTTCATTTCGTAAACAATTTATTATTCTGGAATGACATTATTCTTCGTCCATCTGCAGATACGGTTTAGTGGAGGCAACCGAACTATGTGACGTGGTTTTAATTAATGCGCGGTTATTGGGGCAATATAATAATAAGTAAGTACTTTGATTTTGCATTGGATTTCGTTGCGCGTTCGTTTATTTGAATTTTCACTTATAATCTCCCAAGTGCAATTATTGTTTTCGGAATTTTTTTCGAATGCATTCCAATAATGTATTAATTAGCCCGAGTGAAACACGAGGAGTACCAATTGTTCGCAGTTTCCCGCAAATTATTAGTTATAATAATAATTGTGTATTTCATTTTAATAAAAAAAATTTCTCTATTTATGACGCATAATAAAAAAATGCAACTTTTAATATTGAAGGGAACAAAATTCCTAGGAAAAAATCATTTTGGCTAGTTTATATTTTCCTTTGTATTCCAAAGAATTTTCTTGGCTATATAACTATTTTTTGTTGTTTGCGATCTTTCCAGTGGTGATTTTATTAAATAATAGGAGTAAATACTAAATACTTAGATACCTCCGAATCCACGCAATCAATTATTATTTTGAAATTACTTGTAGAACTATAAAATTATCACGAACGTGGAAAATTAAAATATTATTTTTAATCATGTTTCACTTTAAATTTACAACATAACACGCACTTTTACTTATAGTTTATCAGTTCGCCCTTTTTTGAAATTTAGTGTTACAGTGAATATTGGCCACGCTGTTTTAGAAGCAATAACGAACGAAATCATGAAATCTGGTAAATATTTCATTGCTAGAATAGATAGGTTTATAGTTTTAAGTAACAGTGAGTATCGAACTACGACGACATGAATTTTTCTTCGACTTTTGCAGGTGTAAATGAAAACTGAGAAAGCTGTTTCATCAAATATTCGTGTCAGTTGTCGAAAACTATTGTATCCGAGCTATTTTACTACCGAGATCTTCACCGGAGTTCGCATTTTC